GAGAGAGAGAGAGAGAGAGAGAGAGAGAGAGAGAGAGAGAGAGAGAGAGAGAGAGAGAAACACCCTGTTTTATTTGATGTGTTGTGTTTGTTTTGTGGGACTGCAGGCTCTCTCTGGGCCGATGACACAGATTCTAAAACGCATTCGTGCATTCGGAGAGTTCGAGGTCAGTTTTATCTTCTTTCCTTATTGCTTGGTATTCTTTTTCACAGCTGTATTGGTCTTGCCAATTTGTGTGCTTAAGAACTGATGTTACTGGTGATAAAGATTTAGTTCTCTTTGTTTGAACTCCTTGTATACATGTTTGTGACCATGCAATTCTTCAGGTCTCCCTGGCTATTCATGACACAGTCAACCTGTGAGATCTGGACCTGTGATCTGAACCTCTCATTCTGAATGCACTGCACTTATGGAACTCCCTTTTATGAAATCTACAATGGATGTCCTTCAAGCTCTTGTATCAGTAATAATTCCTGTTCGTATGGAGCATTGCAAACTCTCAGATGAGTTATGTGACTCTTTTGGAGACCGACCTGAGCAGTGTTCTCGTCATTAGGACTTTGATTTCTAAGTTCTAACGGGTTCTACCTGTATTGTCCTTTTTGAGTGCTACGGGGTTTGTTTATGTTAGTGTCTTTGGAATTTCAATTGTTATTTGAACCCATTTCGTTAAACTTGAGGTCTGTGTTACGATCCTGCCCAATTCCGAAGTGCAAATACACAAGGAAATACAATGCCGTGCAGTCGCAAAAAAAATGAATGAACTTGAGATTTGAGAGAGACCAAAGAAGAAGAAAAAAGAACGAAGAAGGAGGAAAGAAGAAGAAGAAGACGTACACCATCTAAACATCAATGACAATTCCCCCTTCTCTCACCAACCAACTTCTCCTTATCTCCCCTTATCTTATTCAAACAATAAATAATAATAACAACGATGGATGACTGAACCAGAATCAATGTCCGAGTCCCTCTTCTACTGCCAGCACGTGATGAGGTCCACGTAGCCATGACCTCCAACTTCCTCCACCTCCGACAGGTCTGGGCTATGGCGGACAACTAAGGGCCTTGCCTGAGGTTCAGAAGACAAAAACAGATATGTCCTCCAATCTTCAGGCCGCCGTGCCTGAGTCTGCCTTGAAGCCTTCTTGATGTAGCGCTACCCCGCTAGGGGCCTTCCTGATGCTGCGTCTACCAAGGAGATGAAGATGGCGCTTACCATAGCCAGGTAAGTACCCCTGGAGCTCTCCTCCTTAGTCCCTTTCTTCCTCCTCCTCCCACCTGGGGTCTACCACCATAGCTGAGGTGGTCATCCAGGCGCTCCTCCCCTAGCGCTGCACACTAGCGCTCTCCAACCAGATGCTCCAGCAGCGTGGCACCCAAACTTGCACACAGCAAATGAAGAGGAGCAATTCGCAGGAGTAGTGGCCAATCAGCCTCTTGGGCAGTGACTTCCAGGCTGTGTGACCTCCAAGCAACCTGTACCTCCTCCCTTTCAGAGAGAAACATCATTGCAGACCTGATATCTACTCCTACAGGCCGTAGACCTACACTACCGGACCTCTACCCCTAAGGGTACTAACTTTTTGTCTTGTTATGCTCGGTCTACCGCTATTCAACTGCTACCGGTACCGACATTACGCTAATTGAGTGTGCCCTCAGCTACCCCTTCGGCCACTCGAGTGTTTTTTTCCGCAGCAACCCTCAAAGTCACGGCCACAGGTAAGTACCGACCATGTGGGCCTCCCAAACAAACAAGTGCCATTGCGGGCCACACACACACTCAGGCCGACAAGCACTCAGACAGGCACACGGACCAGCAAGCATCCACAGACGCTGGCTTAGATAGCTCAGCAGAATGCGGGAATCACAACAAGGCATAAATTCCAGCGCCAAAACTAAAAAATCAGCAGTCTTCCTAGTCTGTGTTTTGGCAGGTCCTTACACTACCCCCCCCCTTAAGAGCGAGGTGCCTTCATGCAGTAACTCGATCTGAGCCCCTGCAAAACACATGGTAGGCAAACATAGCAAAAAGAGCTGCTGTGTATTCCGTAGCGGTGAGTTTGGCTGAGAATGTGGGTTTATCGTAAGAAACTATCCGGCGTTCATATGCTTTGACAACGCGAGGTGCACTCTGCAACAATTCTTTCTTTGAAATCGAGTAGAGATCATGTAAGCGGTGATACAAAAAGTGAACTTGGTACTGTCAGTTATGCCCGTTACCAGTATGATAATCAAAGGAATCAGGAGCACGATACGAGGGGGTCGGCCCACGGAAAGGCATCACATTACCTGGGTGGCCCCTGAAAGGGAGTCGGCCCACGGAAAGGCATCACATTACCTGGGTGGCCCCTGAAACTCTAGTCTGGGTTTGGGGGGTTCAGATGTCAGCGCTGGGACGGTCCCCCGAAAACGACGAATGGGTATCAGCCTCGGCTTTCGCCAAACCCAGTGGAATCATCAACGCACGTCGCTCTTCGGACGAGCGCTGGTAATCAACAATGTGGTCTTGGCCGCCCTATGGTACAGATCGGTACTTCGGCCGCTGAGCGAGGGCGCCTTGAAAACCTTAAAAAGGAGGGTGGCAACCTACCTATGGAGAGGGGACTGTGAAAACTGTCATGCTATAAGTCGAGTCCCGTGGGATTTGGTTACCCAACCCAAGGCAAAGGGAGGCCTTGGTATTTTGGACCCCCTCACCCATACCTGAGCCCTAAGTCTGCAGTGGATTGTGCGTTTGATCTTCGAAAATCAGTTGGTATGGCGGCTGCTGGATCTGGAGCAGATTGCCCGTTTAGCTCCCGAGGCCTCCCCGTCTGTTCACCCCCTGCGATGGTTAGACGACGGTTATTGGAGAGTGCCAAGGCGCCCTCGGGCAGTGGAGAGGCAGAGAGAGGACTTTTGGCCTGTACTGATAAAAATTTGGCAGAGTCTCTCCCCCTCGAGTCTCCCACCCCCGCATAGGTGGGAAGAGGTGGCAAGGCAGACCCTTTTCGGCAACCGTTGGATCACTAATGAGTGGAGTCAGATCTTTTGCAGCACTGGCGCCCCATGGAAAGGATGGCTGAAGAATGGGTAGGTCACGTTCCTTTTTAGCTCATCTAGGAATAGGTGCTGGGAAACCATGGGAGAAAATTGGCATTTCCCATGACACATGGTAGGAGAGTATGGATAACCATCAGTGCCTAAAGTGTGGCGCTGCGGGGCACATTATAGGACCGTGCCTTTGATCCAGAACCCAAAAGGGAGCAGCCAGTAGGAGTACCATCTGGGTGCAGACTTAGACCCGACGTTGGAAACCCCTTTCCACCTTCATCTCCTATGGCAGAGGATGCCTCTTCCTTGGGCCCTCACTCAAACCACCCTGAATCTGTGATGTGTAAAGTTCCTCTGAGTGAGACCCTTGATGAGCTTGGCACTTAACTTATTAACCTACGAAGCTCATGGGCTATGAAGGCGAAGTCTATGGGCGAGTTGATCTTAGCGGGCGTAGAGATTGCGAAGACACGAACGGGTGCTTTGTTGGACCCCGGTTCGACCAGATCTTACATGTCCGAGGGCGTTGTAAAGAAGATGCACTTGGGTATGCAGGTGAAGAATTTGCCAAAGCCTATTGTCTCCATGTTGGCATATCAGAGTACCATCACGGTTTCCCAATGTGTTGAAAACGTGAAGTGTTACTTCGGGACACAGGAAGGTAAGCGTATCCTGCATGAAGTAACATTCTTAATTGAGAAGAATCTGCCGTTTGATTTGATCTGGAATGGATTGGCATGAGGAAGTAGACCCTGAGGTCAAATATAAAGAGAAAGCTGTGAAAATTAAAAATGAAAACAATGAATTGAGATCAATCAAAGTGCATCACAAATCAGGTTTGGACTCTACATTGTCTTTCTATTGTATGAGTCTTCTTGCATTTCGATCGATGGTTGTGAAGAAGAAGTTCGCGCAGGAGGTGATGATGGTGTTAGTTAAGACTGTCTCATTGTTCCTCGTCCTACCCTTAATTCTTTTGAAAAATTACTTGACGAATATAAATGAACCAACGGGGGTAAGTGAAAGGAAAATGAAACATAGCATTGAGATTGTTCTTGGAAGCAAGATTCCAAAGGACCAATCTACCATATGTCCCCAAAGGAACTTGATGAGCTAAGAAGCAATTGCAAGAACTAACTGACAAGGGATGGATCAGACCTAGCTCGTCTCCTTATGGGGCTCCTGTTCTGTTTGTTCCTAAAAAGGAAGGCGAGTTACGGCTCTGTATTGACTATTTGGGGATGAATGCGGTCACTGTTAAGAATGTTGAACCCCTCCCTCGAATTGACGACCTTCTAGACCAATTGCAAGGATACAGGTACTTCAAGAAAATTGACTTGAAGTCCGACTACCATCATATCGAAGTAGCCCCTGAAGATCAACACAAGACGGTCTTTCGAAGAAGGTATGGTCACTATGAGTTCATAGCAATGCCGTTATGTTGACTAACACACCTGCCACTTTTCAAAGGTCAATGAACAAGTTGTTGAGAGATTGGTTGGACCAAGTTTGTAATGGTGTATCTTGATGACATCTTAGTTTTCAGCAAAACACTGGAAGACCACAAGAAACATTTGCGTTTTGTCCTCCAAAAATTGAGAGAAGGTAATTTCAAACTAAATCCTCAGAAGTCTGAATTCGCAGAGTCTGAAGTTCTACATCTTGGACATATTGTGAATGAAGATGGGTTGAGGCCCGAGGAAAAAAAAAATGCTGCTACAAGAGATTGACCTAAGCGAAAAAACTTAACTGAATTGCGCTCCTTTCTGGAATTGGCTCGCTATTATAGGAATTCCTCTATAGCTGCCCCAATGAGGAGGCTGCTAAAGAAAGAAACTATTTGGCTTTGGGACATAAGACTGTGAGTCTGCTTTTAGAAAGTTAAAAGTATGTGCTCACTCATTGTCCTGTGTTGAAGATTGCAGACCCATCCTTGCCTTTTGTTGTGACCACTGATGCAAGTCAGTACGGGATTGGGGCTGTATTACAATAAAATGATGGGAAAGGTTATTGACCAATTGAGTTTTTGTCATGTCGACTACCTTCAAACGAAGTAGCAACTCAACCTATGAGAGAAAATTGTTTGCACTGTTGCAAGCTCTACTGACCTAGAAGCACTACCTCTTAGGTAGG